ATATAACAATATCACTAGAAGACATTTTGATTAATTCATTAACTCATACCATTTCTCTACAGATATAACAATATCACTAGAAGACATTTTGATTAATTCATTAACTCATACCATTTCTCTAGCAGATATAACAATATCACTAGAAGACATTTTGATTAATTCATTAACTCATACATTTTTCTCAGATATAACAATATCACTAGAAGACATTTTGATTAATTCATTAACTCTACCATTTCTCTGCAGATATAACAATATCACTAGAAGACATTTTGATTAATTCATGCTCATACCATTCTCTACAATATAACAATATCACTAGAAGACATTTTGATTAATTCATTAACTCATACCATTTCTCTACAGATCACTAGAAGGCATTTTTTATTCATTAACTCATACCATTTCTCTACAGATAAAACAACATCACTAGAAGAGATTTTGATTAATTCATTAACTCCTACCATTTCTCTACAGATAAAACAACATCACCAGAAGACATTTTGATTAATTCATTAACTCATACCATTTCTCTACAGATATAACAATATCACAAGAAGACATTTTGATTAAATCATTATCTCATACCACTTCTCTACAGATATAACAATATCACTAGAAGACATTTTGATTATTTCATTAACTCATACCATTTCTTTATCAATATAACAAGACCACTAGAAGACATTCTGATTAATTCATTAACTCATACCATTTCTCTACAAGTATAACAATATCACTAGAAGACATTTTGATTAATTCATTAACTCGTACCATTTCTCTACAGATTTAACAATATCACTAGAAGACAGTTTTTTTAATTCATGTCACTTCTCCACTGATATAACAATATCACTGGAACATATCATGGTTAATTCATGCCGCTTCTCTACTGATATAGCAATATCACTGGAAGAGATTTTGGTTAATTCATTAACTCATACCATTTCTCTACAGATAAAACAACATCACTAGAAGAGATTTTGATTAATTCATTAACTCATACCATTTCTCTACAGATATAACAATATCACTAGAAGATATTTTGATTAATTCATGCCATGATTCTGCAAATATAACAATATCACTAGAAGACATTTTGATTATTTCATTAACTCATACCATTTCTTTATCAATATAACAAGATCAATTGAAGACTATTTGATTAATTCATTAACTCATACCATTTCTTTACCAATATAACAAGACCACTGGAAGACAGTTTTTTTAATTCATGTCACTTCTCCACTGATATAACAATATCACTAGAACATATCATGGTTAATTCATGCCGCTTCTCTACTGATATAGCAATATCACTAGAAGAGATTTTGATTAATTCATTAACTCATACCATTTCTCTACAGATAAAACAAGATCACTAGAAGACATTTTGATTAATTCATTAACTCATACCATTTCCTTACCAATATAACAAGACCACAAGAAGACATTTTGATTAATTCATGCCAAAATTCTGCAAATATAACAATATCACTAGAAGACATTTTGATTAATTCATTAACTCCTACCATTTCTCTACAGATATAACAATATCACTAGAAGGCATTTTTTATTCATTAACTCATACCATTTCTCTACAGATAAAACAACATCACTAGAAGAGATTTTGATTAATTCATTAACTCGTACCATTTCTCTACAGATTTAACAATATCACTAGAAGACAGTTTTTTTAGTTCATGTCACTTCTCTACTGATATAACAATATCAATAGGAGCGATATTGATTAATTCATTAACTCATACAATTTCTCTTCAAATATAACAATATCACTAGAAGACATTTTGATTAATTCATTAACTCATACCATTTCTCTACAGGTATAACAATATCACTAGAAGACATTTTGATTAATTCATGCCACTTCTTTGTAAATATAACAATATCACTAGAAGACATTTTGATTAATTCATTAACTCATACCATTTCTCTACAGATATAACAATATCACTAGATGATATTTTGATTATTTCATTAACTCATACCATTTCTCTACAGATAAAACAAGATCACTGGAAGACATATTGATTAATTCATTAACTCATATCATTTCTTTACCAATATAACAAGACCACAAGAAGACATTTTGATTAATTCATGCCAGATAACACAAGGATCACCACTATATCTCTTTGGTCCATGACAGAAGAATTGAAGAATAATGCAAATTTGAGTCTCATCCGGTGAGGTGCTAATGATATTACATGATAAGAAATTAGACGTATAACAAATGTGGAATAAATTTGTCGAAAGATTGCTACTTGAAGTACTACCAAACCATCACGGAACTTTACCGGATCCCTTCTTTCCTCTTTGATACGGAAGGTTAGTAATAATACATATAAAAGTGGAAGGAAGTGCTGCATCAGAGATATACATTTGTTTACAACCATTGACAATTTATCAGGTAGCATGTCATCGTGATTAGTGCGAAAATGATAATAATGATAGTGAATTAAACAATAAATTCAATAGAAAAGGCAATGAAATATAAGAGTTAAATTATTGGGACAAAATACATATGCATATGGATAAGTAAATAAAAATTAACTTAGATATAGCAAAAAAAAGAATGCTGCATTGCTTTTTAATATTTCTGAGAAGAAAAGCAACAGGCAATTAGTATCAAACAAAACTTATGATATAACAATCAATATTTACCTCACAAAGCTATAATTTTAAACATGCAGTTATATTTGAAAGAATTTCATTTTTACAGTTATTTCTGCTTATACTTCCAGCAAAAAGATGAGCCTGAGTAGCTAGAACAGTCATTTCAAGAGAAAGTAAACTGTTCCTCAACTAAGGAGAGAATCCAAAATTTCAAGATTTCAAATGTAACCGTATTCAGACTTCAGATTTCTATCTCGAAATTTAAAAATTTTATAACTGAAACCTCTATTTATATATATTGCGAAAAGATAAAGAAAAAAACTTGTTTATATTATGTTAAAAAAATAGTTTACTTCATTTAGTTGACTTACAAGTTTTCTACCAAGCCATAAGAGGAATTCAAGAACAGTCTCGAATAATGTTAAATGAGTCGAAAGTCAGAAAGATTTTTGCTAAATTTTGTAAAATATTGATGAAACAAAACAAGGATAGAAGGTTTCTTGACAAATAATGGCGTCAAATGAGCGAAGATGAAGGAGAAGGAATTTAGAAACTTAGGATCCAATATGAATTTATATGTCATACATACATGATAAAGTTGTCTATCGTAATATCATTATTATTTAATTGATTTCTATTCTATATCCCATTTGATCACTACCTATATAAATCAAATGTCATTAAAATAGTACTACTGTATGTCATTCACTTCGTACCATCCTAATCAGTATGCTATTATTGCCTGCAGTTGTAAATTCATTTCTGTTAACTATTGGCTATTTATTATGAAATAATGGCAGTAACTAATGATAAGAGATTTTAAAAAATAGATAGGTAGGAAACTGCTGAAAGAAAAAGAGTTTATAGTCATAATAGTGGAAATTTAAAGCATACTTAATATTCCCTACTAACCTACGTAAACCTTCGACGATTCCACAATCCTAAGACCTAATAATTTTATTATATCAGACATATGTTTAATGATACCTACTAATAATACTGAATATTTTCATCATCCCACCACTAATCGAAGTAGATCACAAAATTTTCCAATATGTAAAGTTATGACAAATTATATCTAGAGGTTTCTCATTTCTGATTGTATGCATCGAAATTTTCCTTCTCCCCAGGGAAGTTCAAATATTCCGCACCCAAAATAAAAAAACTCACTTTCTTCTTATACTCAAAACTAAAAGGAACTGCACTGAAGAGAAAAAAAGTATATCCAGAAATGGACAAGCAAGTATCAATGAAGAGAGTATCAGCAGTAATCATACAACACAGTGAGCAGTGAACTTCAACAACGACGAAATCCCCAATGCTTCACAATGCCACTAAGCAATAGAATCATATCAAAGGAAATCGGAATAAAGACTTCCCGCTGCTGCAATAAGTCATGTAGACCGCGGCCCATCACAATTCAACAACGCTCACAAATCCCCGATTTGAAAACTGCGCAATTCGTAAACTGTGTGTTATCGGTTATCGGTGGCTGGTCTAGAGAGGGTGCAGGGAGAGTTCGCTACATCACCGTGGATTACGGTCGATCTCATCCTTTTCCATTTCTGTTGTACTCTGAATCATTGTTTTGACTTTTACAATGCATTATCATTCACTAATTTCTTTTTCTTCTCTCTAGTATTCCTGTCACTGTCATTATTTCTTACCTTACCTCTTCATCCTAGATGGCATTTTGTTGGTACCACTTCTGTCCGTTAGTATTCTGCTGATTTTTCACTTGAACGATTTGCTTCATTACTTATATGAGAAAAGATGGAGAAGGCTGTAGCCTGTTAGCCTTCCCCATCATAAAAAAATGTCCGATTTTTCAGGTCGTTCGTGGAATCCATGCGTCTTTTTAGACCTAGTGCTATTCGTCATTAGATATCAATAAATGACAGAGAAAAAATGATTCTGGTGAAAAGTTTAACTGCAATGGCAACGGAGAAGTTACTGTTGAAAACATCAGGTCAGAAATTCTTGGATGGCGTCGATTTTATGTATCGAGTGGGTTTATCACCTGATCGCTTATCAGTTATGAAAACGAGCAGTGGTAAATTCATCTTATTGTTCCATTCACGATGCGATCTTCGTCCATTCGCTGTATGAATATTTCACTGAACTTATTGGTTACTTCAAATCGCCTGTTTTTTTGAGAAGGATAATATTGTCTATTGCTTACTATCTATTGCTGTCTCTGCTTAAATCCATAAATCTTTTCGTTTTCGAGCAAATGAGTTCTTTTTCACTCTTAAAACTGATTTTAGGCCAATTACCCGACTTTTCAACGGTTACTTCGTGGTATAGTTCACATTAGAGCATGGTAAATTCAGTCTATCGAATTTTTAAATGTTGATTTCAAAATGGCCGATATCCCTGACGTTGAATGTACGCTCGAAGTAAGTTTTGTCATTTCAGTGCATAAGCCATTGTTAGTAGTAGTTATTGTTTCTCAGTTCACAAATTGATGATTTCTTCTCGATTATAGAAAGCAAATTATACCACTTGTTGCTTTCAGAAATTACGACAAAAAACTCAAGTCCTTATATGTAAGGAGTTCTCCAATTATGAATAATGCTATCTGTTGATGTCTGAATCTTTGTCAAAAAATCACCATAACAATAGCATGTTCTTTTAGCTGGTAGTATAAGATATAATGGATTTTGGAATTCGAATTTCTGCTGAAATCTTAAGATGCTTTAATTTAATTTTTAGAGGCTCGAAGTGCATTTGGTACTGCTGCGAAATTGTACATATAACACAATCATGAAGTCATCTCATGCATATCAAGTTTTATTGGCACTTAATCGAAATAAAAAGTGTATTGTTTGCGAATACGGTGATGACAGGTAAACATGGGTCTATTCACTATTCCATAAGCTTATTCCCGCCAGAATTACACTGTTTGAAATATTTTTTAGCATCAACTTCTTTTAATTTATTCGCCATATTAATATTTTTAATATGTTGGTGCTTTCTTGCTATTGACACATCTTTAATTTGTATACATCTCTAAACTTTGGTTCTGCAAATTTCGTCTATGCTTACTTCCAGTTCTTCTCTATCAACCACTTTTTGAAATTTTATTCTTATCTTACATCTCTCTTTTATTTCATCTCTTTTTCTATTTAAAAAGGATGATTATTAGTTCTGATTAGTATTTATGGTGATACAAAGAACTGAAAAATTAGTTGATTTCTGCAATGAGTATTTACCGTTTTTATGATTTCAGGTTAAAAGATCGAGTTCTATGGGGATATCAGCGTCACTCCTTCAACAATAATAATGTGCCTGGATTGAACGCTGCACCAGTCGCATATAACTAAAAAAATTAACTGTCTAAAAACATTAAGAAGAGATCTCGAAGAACTGATATGCTAAAACTTGGAGATTTGGTCTACGACATGTTTGAAGCAAATCAAATAAGAATAGTTATGTAATTCTATTCATATTGAAATTTTCATTTTTATTACAAAATTCCAAAGCGAGCAGTGATTTGGAATTGCATCGACTGATATGTTTTTCCAAAAACCAATAATTTCTACTAAATAAATCCAAAGATGAAAGCTTTTACAGATTTCACTAGGAAATTTCCACATTCTGGTATAATGATAAACTGATATTTTACCACTATTTTTTCCAATTATTTATTTTAAGGTATTATTTTACTGATTATTGCGCGCTCCAAGCCGTCTACTTGTATCTGTTCCTTCCTAACCTTCATAATCAGAGGAGAATATTTTTAGAATCATTAATTCATATGTGTATTGCTTGGATCAAATTTGTGTTTGAAGAGATTTCGTCTTAATATTATTATTAATGATAAAAATTCCAGTAAAGGAGCAAGTGATGAGAACATATTATTATTAAAGGAGCAAGTGATGAGAACATATTATTATTAAAGGAGCAAGTGAAGAAAGATTATTGCTATTGTTATTATTATCATTACTGTTGTTATTATTATTACTACTATTATTCTCATTATACTATAATTATTATTGTTATTGTCACTATTATTATTATTATTATTATTAGTATCAGAACTGTTATGTTTAAAACTGAAATTGATTGGGAATTAGACGCTAAGAAAAATGAAGGAGAAAAAGAGCTGGATCCTCTATTTGTCTTTAAATAACATGAATACTACCATTTGCTGCTTTGTATAGATGCTTTTCAGTTATATCTATCTGTGATCGTTGAGTGTATTTCTTTAAAATTTGTGATTTTATTTCGATTGTTTTCCCGATCTGCCTTCTTTGTTAACAGTCCCATTACTCAAATTATAAGAATAAACTGTTGACACTGATTGTTTTGTTGCAAATTCTAGGAGGCTAAGAAAAGTTTACGTAGAAAATTTTCATAATGGAGACTGGAATTGGAAAGGACGTGTGGAGCACAATATCTATTGAAATTGGAAAAAAGTTATCTCATGAGAAATCTGTTTTTGCAGCACTTTTTTTGCAGTCAGTACTGAAATTAAGTGCATTTGAGATATTGAAATGAAAGGTGTAATACTAAAAGGCAACAAGCTATTATTTGATGTACTATTAGGATAACTGGGAATAGTGTAGTATTATCGGTCATTATGAATACAATAGCGTTTTTTGTAGCATAATCGTAAGGTATGATCATAGTTTTTGAATTGTATACATGACAATGTTGATTAATTTGTTACTATTCAAAGCTGATAACTATTTTTATAATTTCCCAGTGTCTGCAAAATCGTGCAGCATGTGTAATGTCGTCTTAAAATGCAGCGGTCTTGATTTAGGCTGATTTTGGCGGCATTAAAAATCACATCGATGTAATTGTTATTTATCAATTCCATTCAAGTACACCATTTCAGTCGAGTAATAAAAATTTCAGTCGAATAATTGAATTTGTCATGTTTGATTTTCTTAAATCTACTTCGTTAAAATTCCTTAATATTCCTCGCTAATGTTGACAAAGTTAAACTGGCATTTCCTACAGACTATCAAATACATTATTTTATACATCACTCGAAAATAAAAAGTTTCACTACTGCATGAGAAATATTATAAGAGTGAGAAAGACTCTATATGACGTTTTTCTTAGAATAAATCATTTCCCAACAAGATTATATTGCTTAAAATTACTGTCACTTCCACATCTACAATTTTTTTATCGCGTTTTCTATAAGCTTTCAAGTCACTTAAATTGTTATAAAGCGATTTTCAATCATCACTTCTCATTACTTTCAAATAAATCTCCCAAGACAGTGTGCAGAGTAAACGTCTTTTTCAATCACTCTATCTTCTGGTAAAGGAGATGAATAATGAAGTGAAATGTTGCTCACAATTTCCAGGAAGGGATAATGGAACTCACTGGTGAGACAAACTTCTTGATTGAAGAACGAATTCGCAAATGCAGAACACCTTTTACATGGAGTAAGTGATCACTGATACTCATTTCGTTTGTGACTCCAATTTTGTTTACCACTGTTAACCATCGTAATTTTTACTTCCAAACAAATTGTTGCCTAAAAAGGACCGAATGGAATGTCTTGTTTATCGTAGAGCAAATAATTGGAAAGCAGCAGCTTTTTCTCCACTTAGTAGTTTTCTTTACCCAAGGAAGTAAATTAAATGGAATGCTTTTCATGCAAGACATGCTCGAATACACCTTTTATTATCTATAAGCATTCATGGTGAAATATTCATGGTGAGGTGAAATACTGTCAACTGATGACAGGATATTAAATCGATATATTTTTAGAACCGCGAGTGGGCTTTGGCGTAACACGTATGAAAAGCTCTACTGTAGTGCACAACAAAAAACTAATACATGTTTTCATTATTAACATTAAAACTAAAATTTTCGAGTTCCAGCAAAAATAAACAGCATCACGTCTTGATAAAAGTCAGAAAAATATTTGTAAAGCTAATAAATATATGTCAGATAGAGAACAGATCTATAACAATCAACTGGGATCAAATAAACTCGGACCACAATTAATTCCTTAACTTTTCGGCTATCAGCAACTTCACAATACTAACCAACAATTCATCAGCTGATACTTGAATCAAGCTATTTACAACAGCGCGCTTGTTTAAAACAATATTGTAGTAATTAATTCTTTTACACGGGAGAATAAACTGAAAATAGTATTACTCCTTATTATGTTAATGGTACCAAAGAATATAAGATGCTAATGATTTTTTACTGATCTTTAAAGCAATCAATATTTATCCACTAAGCTTACTATCACAAACCAAACCTCAGATTTTCCTTTGTCAATATTCAATGTGCCATACAAAAAAGAGAACCGAAAAGTAATTCACAAAAATTCCAGCTTTTCTCAGCATGAAAACTGCTTAAATTCACCTTTTCTGTTACATAGCACCTTTTCTATTACATAGCATTGCTTAGCTTCATTCATCAAAGACTCTAATGATTTTCCGTATTATTTCAGCATCCTTAAAAGTATATTTCTTAAAGAAACATCGAACTCAAAAATAATACCATTAATTACAGTTCTGATTCCGTCTTCACTAAAACTTCACCAAAAATCCCTTCATATTTCTGCATAAAATAAATATTAATAATTAATAACTAAAGCTTAGTAGCAGAATAATTGTAATCTTACCATTGAACGTTTTTTGCGTTCACTGGCAAGATCAATTTCTCAAAGAAATTATTTGAAATGAAAGAAAATCCATAAAATTGTTTGCAAATCCAACACTGCATTACACTTAGTTGCAATAAACCATGAGAAATCCATATTTTCGCTCCACAAATTCCCATCATCAAATTCGGTTCCATTTGGCGTAAATTTTCAACTATAATTTAGAGGATCACATAAATTAAGCTTGCTACTCTATATCAAAAAGAAAGAGTTCAAGAGCTAGATTCCAAATCTTCATGCATATTTTCCTTCGAATTTGTCAAGTTTGAGCCATTCATCTAGAATAAGTTTAGAAATCTAATGAAGTTCACAATTGTCGAAATACGAGCTTAGAAAAAGTGTCGAATGATGGTCTATATGGCGTTTGTGTAGATCATGGCCTTTTCTCAGTGCTGAGCTACACTTTTCGTTATTATGAGAAATTCAAAAAATAAGGAAAAAAAACCAGAAATTCTAAGCCAAATTCGAATGGCTTCGTTATGAACGACTGTTTCGCCAATATCGCGGATTTAACATTGCGAAGTACTAAATAAATGTTAACAATGTTAATATAGCAATCTATTCATGTTTTTTACAATTCATCGTAATGGTTAACTGACCTTTGATCTTATATCAATTCATATACAATGAACATCTATCATTTAATGTCTGTTGCAACTCATTATAATAGCCATCCATCATAATGTAATTTAGACAACCCACTGTACTTTTCTTTGTAATATCCATTGTAAAACCTATTGTTAAAGTTACTTACTATCATGTCAAGATCATTTATCCTTTGTACAAAAATGTCTAATTATAAACACATCCTAACACATACAATGTAAGATATAATTGATATATAAGGATCATCCTTATTAAAAGATTTTAGTGTGTGTGTAATTTTATTGCCAAGAACCAGACGAGTTCAATTTCAAATGTTCTTTATCAACATATTGTCTTATTACATCTACTAATAAAGAAATTGGTTTATTTCTCTGTTACCCTACGTATTTACACAGATATCCAACTGCTGCGATCAAAAACCTCTCTCAAAATGAATAATTAAACGATCAAACCAAAGCACGATATGACCGAATTACATATGACTGAAAAGGAATACTGTAACACACTTTAATTATATACGGCTGCTAACTAGGGTATGACTCCACGCCCAACATAAGCCAACGATTTTGACATCTGGATATTAGCTACTATAAACATTTCGTTCACTAACCAATACACCTGCACACAATATATTTGCAACTTGATACAAATATATGAAGATAAAATCATATAATACACGAATTATTACTTAATGTACCTATATATTTCCTATTACATCTTGCCGCTGGTACCGAGTATGCTATGTCAGTGTACTTCAAAAATCTACACCATTGTTGCAGTGATTTATTTTATTTATTATCTCCCCTTCCTACTAATATTTTCTAATATTTATGATATCCATTTCATCTCCAACTAAACTAGAAAAGGATACAATTCAAAACCTCAATAAAACATTTTCATTTAAACTGTTTTCTATTTTGTTGCAAATAAAATTTGCTTTGACATTTACCAGACTCTCAATCATTTTCTTCAATTTCTGAATTAAAAAACACTGGAAGGAAATCATAAAAAATTGTTTTTAAATCAGGATTTGCAGGCTTTATGTAAACTATTGCATCAAATTCAAAATTTCTGATTACATCGAATGCCTTTCCATGTCGACGTGCTATCGAGTTAGCACAATGTTTCTATAGTAGGCAACTCCTGATAATATATCGATACCATAATACTTTAAAGTTTTACGAACAACTTGGATTCATGGTATCATCAGATGAATTTAGAGATGCTGGTTACATTTGACTTACTATAAAACCTTGCAAATAAAAAATTGCTGTGAATTTCTCAGTACATAATCCATTGAGCATAATGTATCGACATTGTAATCTGTAATGATGGGACTGAATCATTTGTACCTTTATATTTGTATTAATACTACATGTTTGGTATTTATTTTGGCGATAATCGAAGAATTTAATAATTTTGTTGTACTTTTTAATATATTTTATTATATTACAGTACTTTTGTCCATCTTTTAGACAGTTATATTACTTTAAATGTATTTTTTTTTTTCTTTTTGCAGACGATGTTTTATTTTCCACGTCGAATGAAGTTACCTACATTGCATTTGACGGTGCTGATTGTAAATATACACCAGGTGATTGCTTTGATCCAGCTGTTATGACGAGAATAAAACTATCATGTCATTCAAGGTTGATTATTTTTATGATTAATGTATACTTAGTTTTCAAATTTTCTTCCTTTTTGCAAATTCATTTTGGTCAAAATAAATTCAAGGTTGATAAGGTTTTTTCTGCTTTTTAGGTTAATAAGTGAGATTCACTTAAATTGACACAGATCGAATACCTTCACCTTTTTTTTTTTTTTTTTTTTTTTTGTTTTAGATCGAGTATCTCAAACCAAATATGTTACTCTTGCATTCAACGATTACTCACATGGCCAAATAATCTCCAGCTCAAAATATCAAATATTACGTTTTTTAAAATGAAATACATGGAAACAGATTAGACACAAGATGTTCCTAGACTAGTCCATCTGCAACACTTGCCAGAAGAAAGTGTCATTGGTTGTTTACTAATTCGAATTTATAAAGAATGCACTCGAGCAACTCTAGCATAAAATTTTGCACGAAGTAAACAAAAAATTTTTTGGTCTTAATAGTTTGGGAAAAATTGAATACTGGCTATTATGAAGAGATCGATGAAGTTTGGGGACTTTTTTTTACACAAATATTATGATGTGTAGAGTATTATGTTTGAAATTAGAGAAGCGAATAGAAGTAAGCATTTTTGTTGTTTTAATGATGCCAACTGTATTTGATAAAATAATGATAATGTTTATACTATTAAGCTTTACTTTTCAGTATTATGAAGTGTATTAACTGATATATTTATTACATTCTGTATATTTTGTCATATGTTGACTAGATCTATGTTGCTTGTGATATGGGCGTAATAATGGGTCGTAGTGTTGGTGGTTTTGCAAAATTTTTTGCGCTGCCGAACTTTGCCCTCATTTGCATTCTCCTTTATCAAAACTGGCGACTTACTTTCCGATGAGTAACTCTTTTTTGCAAGGATTTACGCTTTCTGAAATTTCAAATGGTAAGCCAGTTTTTCTAGAACTTTCGTATTAATATGCACATTATTACTTTTTTTACAGACTATAAAGCTTTTGCAACCACCACTTCCTTTACTGAACTCAAATTATGGATGTTTGCGAGCTACTGTCTTTTGAAGAGATGTTATAGAAATAAAAAACTAGTAGTTGTAAGAAGACTTGTAAATTAGTGGCCTGCATTTAGAAAATGTAAATAAGATTAATAGTTGTCTAGAAAGGTTTTCTACATAAATGTTAAAAACTTCAACATAATTTGTTGTTTCTTATGTAAAAACTATGAAAAAGCAAATTTATAATTATACTTACTACTCCTATGCACTCTCATGCTACTGATCTTAGCTTCCTTCTAGCTTCTCATATTTTAACAAATTTATTGGTCATCGTACCTATTGAGATTGGTAACAGTTATGCTGGTGGTAACTGTTAACAAGTTATGATGAATTAATAGAATGTGATATATGGCATATTTTTAGTTATTACTTTTTTGAAGGAATCTGTATTTTTTGGTCCTGAAGCAGTACAGTTCATATGCTTGATTTCTTGTTTTTCCGTCTTTAACATACAAATAACTATTAAAAACTAATGCAGTTGTAATGAACATAACAAAGTCATTGAATCCGTTAAAATGACAGGTGGCGAAAGGACCGCTGCTATAAGTCGAGAATTAAGATCTATTAAAGTTATGTGACAATGTCGATCTGCTTATTGTTAAAAGGATTGTGAAAAAAGAAAAGATTCTTAGTATTTGTAAAAATATATTTAAATGATTTAATAAGATTTGCAGAGCTCAGATGATCCAGGTTATTTAATGCAACATCGTTTGATCAAATTCCAGAACTTTTGGATGATATTATAATTCCCGATTACTGTTCATTTGGTGACAGTGTCGATATTAATATTTGGATTGGACCATCAGAAAATGTATCATCTCCGTATTTCGATCCAAAAAGTAACATATTTGCCAAATAGTTTGTTAATGAACACAGTTTTTTTTTTTTTTTTTGGTGACAGTTTATAGGAGGAGATTAAGAAAATTTAAGCATTCAAGTTTTTACGATTAATATATGCTAGCTGAAACTGAAAATGTATACCCTCAATAGGATGGATTTTTGACCAATACCAGTCAGGTTTGCCTTATCATTTATTGTTAAAAATAGAATTATCTTATATATTTTAATTTATATTTAGCGTAAGCTTGTTAGTGGATCTAAACATTATTCACCGCTTTCCTGATGTTCCTGCTTTACGGAATCATTCTCAGTTATTATTAAATTAAACAGTTAAATTGATTTCTCTTATCAATTATTGCATTTTTCCAATGTTTTCTATGTTAGTTTCAATTTTTTTTTCCTTTCTATCAAACGCAAAAAAACATTAAAGCAATTTTTGGTTTCGATTTTTTTTAAATATATTTTGAAATGAGTTTGTGGATAAAACTAATAAGCTTATGAATATAAGGGCATTAATAATGTTAGAGATAATAGAACTGATCAATTAATTAGTTTGTAAATATTAAAACTGATAAATTTATGCAATCATTCTTAGTAAATTAAATAAAATTAACACATGTAATTTTGTAGTTAATTTTCGATTGTATAATTAAAGATTTAACTGTATAATTAAAATATCCAGTCTAAATAACCATATTAGTTTATTCGAAAGTTTTCAAGTAAAAATGGAAAAAATTTACCAGAAATAGATAAAGTTAAGAAATTTATTGAAACTTCTATTGCGAATCTCCTTTTGTTTTTTTTTTTCCTTTGAAATTGCAACAAAAATTATTTATCAAAAAAATTAACGATTTGAGTAATTTTATTGATATTTAATACATTTGAAAAACTTTAAATGAAATTGCTTTATCTTAATTATTATATTATAAAAAGGGAATAAAATTCAAAATTTAGACAATAAATTATAATTAACATAGAAACCTAAGAATATTATATTTATTTCAAACAAAATACTATTTTATTTAATTCAGTTATCAGAGTGATATATCATTGGATAATTTGTAACATTTTTTGTATGATAAATGTAGAACAAATTGGTGATAAAATTATTCGATTTTATTGAAAAATGTTTAAAAATCTGAATAATAAATTTACGCATGTTGCTCTTACCCTTGATGAGGTAAGTAATTTCATTAATTTTTTTTCTAATTTTCATTTCTTCCTATTTCTTTTTTTAGATTTCTTTTTGGTATAAAAATATATCAAAATCAACTGATTTCATTTGATTAACATTTTCTTTATTATATCTAAGTGATGCAAACTAGTATTATGTTAAAATGAAATGTAAAACACATAAGTTTTCTTCCATTTTTTCATCATTTATGAAATAATAAAAATGAAAAAATGTTTTGTTTTAATTATAATTCAGTTATACTCAGATTATAATTCAGTTATATTCAGATTATAATTCAGTTATACTCATACTCAGATTATAATTCAGTTATACTCATATTCAGATTATAATTCAGTTATAGTCATACTCAGATTATAATTCACTTATGCTCATACTCAGATTATAATTCAGTTATACTCAGATTACAATTCAGTTATACTCATACTATAATATGTATGATAACTCATTATGTATTCTTCAGAAATTTTCTATATAAATATTTACAATTATAAATGAGGACATAAAAAAAATTCAGAATGTTTAAATTTCTCTATTTTTCTGGACAAATCATATGCATGGCATGAAATGCGTGATTACAGCACTGATATTTGTGAAAATTATCCCGGATCTTTATTTTCCAGGTTTAACTTTTCAATTCCAAAATCATATCATATCAAAATATGTCTAATTCATGACTAATTCATGAAATTTTCTCTAACTAATCTCTTCATCGATATGACCTAGTTAGTTCATTGTTTGAAATGCTCACGAGTAAACCTATGATATATTTATCAAATTTTTAAATTTTTTTTTCAAATTCTGGTCAATGATGGTATGCTATTTCAGTGGAAGAAGTTAAATTCATAATTTCATATCTAAATTCATCGAAGGAAAGCAATTATAATGCAACTTATTTCGCACTTTCAATTGTCAAATTACGCAGATTTTTGTCATTACCCATCTCTTTTTATTCTCAAATATAAGAAATAACAAAATTGAGTAATTAAACCGAATTTAGTGAAATGTCCATACTTAATTTTCTTACATCTAAATTTTTAGTTATTTTCCACCATCATGGAAGCTACCAGAACATTTAAAAATCACAGCACCACAACAAGCAAATTTGAAAAGCGATAGGCGAAATGACAATTCTCCTCCAAAATCCGGTTAAAGATGTTTATTCCCATAAATCTACTGCATTTTAAGATCTGAGAACTGTTTAGTAACAGAAAAACAATAATCATTTAATAAAGGTATATTATAATGAGACGACGATGCTGGCATTAAATACTAATAATGCAAGCCTTAGATTTTGAAGCTATTATTAGAAAAAGCAATCTACGAAAGCAGTTTTTATCTTCCTTTCATTTTCATTATAATTTTATAAAGAAGCTGGTATAAAATACAGCTATTATTTTACAACAACTGTACATTGTTTTCACTGCTATCCTATTTCATTCATCAAATTTGTGCTTGTAGGAACCAAATGATTTAACAAAAATAATTTTGTAATGTGATTTTGTTTTCTATGAATTTTATGAATCCTAAATTTCAAATCTTAAAATCTCATTTGATATCTCGTTAATTTGTAGGATTAAGTGACAAATCAGCTGGTGGTGGTAGCGAATCAGATGGTAAGTATTCCACGAAATTGTAATAACATCAAAAAAGCTATCACTAACGATATTATTCTGAATGATATTGCAGATCATTCACCATATCTGCCTGCTAACCATGATTCCAGGTTGCTTTTTTTCTATTTTAATTTGCATTTCTTCTGAATGTGCTATTAACTTAGTATTCAGAGTAATCAAGCAATACATACGAAATTGATTTTGTTTTAGCTCAGATAAAGGCATTCATGAAAGTAATCCACCCACTGCTGTTTGTAAAGCTTCACTAGTGAACATTGCTGCTTCACCTAAAAATGGTATTTTTGTATTAATTGTGCAAATCATTTTAGAATCGCTCTTTAATTCTGTAAGAAATAAGTGCTTTTAAACACTTTTTACTCTTAGAAAGCCTACAACAAGTGCTTCAATTTATAGCATAATTTCTGCTTCATGATTGTCAGGACTGGTATATTTTCATTCTGCTTATTTTACCCGTTTGTTTCCTAATTGTATAAAGTTTTTTCTTTTTCACCAAATGTTTTTTTTTTTTTTCTTGATTCTGAAATCACCAATTATTTCAAAAGAGACCTTATTTCTTAGGTTTGTTACGCTCACATGAATATCCGGATGACATCTGCTGCCTCAAATCAGCTAATATCTGGAGGAAGCTACCACCAAGATTGCCAGAAATCATGTTCTTTTTATAAAGATATTTGTGATTGCAAGACACTAAATATTGTTTAATTTAATTATGAGTCAAAAGGAATGTGTATCTTTTTTGAAATCAAATGAAGATAAGGAAAAGTTACGAAGTTATAGCAAATAACAAATATTAGAAGAATGTATAAGTTTTTCAAGAAATTTTTTAAGCAAGATTTTTAATTTCACCTCAGAAGTTTTCAATAAGTTTGAATATTCTAGTCAAAATTTGAAATTAAATTTGATAAGTTATATTTTAGGACAGTGAAAAAACCAGGACCAAAGCAACTTAAATCGAAATCATTTGAATCTCCAAGGCGTATTTTTCATACATCAGATGAAAGCACCCAATTAGATTTTAGCACAGAGATGATTTCGCCAAAGGCACTGCCAGTGAGTTCTACGGAATAATGAATTCTTCGAAATGTTATGTGCAAATGACAATATAAAATGTAATGATTGGTAACTGATAGCTAGTTTTTCCTTTTGCTAAAAAGATTATTTGTGCATCAATAATTAGCTTTTATCATTTTTTTTAGCTTATAAATTGTTTTTCCTACTTTTTTTCTTTGTTCTCTTATATTTTGCAGATGGCCAATGCAGAATCTGGAAATGATACAAATAAAATTACCATTTTCTTATCCGACAAAAATGGATTAAATGTAGTCTATCATTAAATAACTTTTTTCTAAGCGTCTGTTTCATTGCTGCGAATCATTGACAATTTTGTCACACAAAAATTCTGCTTGCTCATTTTGTTCTTGAGTGGATTTTCGAGAAATTGCGATTTATCTGATGGACATTTATTAGTGATAGATATGGTGAAACCGTTTGATATTAACAATTCATATCATTTGCAGGTGGCAGTAACAGCTGATATTGGCATGAAGCTTATCAATGAAGATGGGTCAAAAAAAAGAATTAAATGTATTAAAAAGCAAAAAATTTGTGTCGATGACCAAGTTTTTTATGAAGATTGACTTTTTGCAAATTTTCAAATTTTGTATTTTTTTTTAACAATTTGAACTAACTTTCATTCAAAAAAAGCAAAAAGCAGCATTAATGCACTAGCATTAATCAACTAAACTATCAAAAGTGGAAATGATAAAAAACTGACTATACTGTGATTCCATTTACTGAAAATCAATAGAATTTTTAAAGGTTTCAATGAAATCGAATTTGATTAAATCAACAGTTCATTTCAAATCCTGTCACATCAACAATATACCATTTCTATGTAGTCATTGTTTCGTTCAACCATTGATCAGATTGCTGTAGAATTGAGTCAGATTAAAATTCATAATATTCATAGATGCTCATTTTCAATGCAAGGGTACTGATTGATGCATGTATGGTATGGAGAGATGTTCAAAGGAAGAAAGTAATTCGAATTACAATTAAACTTTATAAACAAAATGGAATAACAATTTGTCTGTCCATTTACATGGCCGATTTTAAACTGAGCTTTAGAAATGAATTATCTAGAGATTCAATGCATGCTCACTGCTAAATATTCCCACAGAGCCATGGGCAATATTTACCCGGCAATATTTCATTTTAACATAATACTAGTTTGCATCACTTAAATATAATAACGAAAATGTTAATCAAATGAAAGCAATTGATTTTGATATATTTTCATATCAGAAAGAAATCTAAAAAAAGAAATAGGAAAGAAATGAAAATTAAAAAAAAAATTAATGAAATTACCTCATCGAGGCTAAGAGCAACATTATTATTCAAATTTTTAAACACTTTTTCAATAAAATCGAATAATGTTATCATCAATTTGTTCTACATTTATCATACAAAAAATGTTACAAATTATCCAATGATATATATTCTGATAACTGAATTAAATAAAATAGTTTAAGATATACAGTATGATATGAGATTAAGATATGCAATATGATATGAGATTAGCGCTTTTGTTCAACTTGATTTAAATCAATGAAAACGGAATTATGGTCAAAAGAAATCTATGATAATTATATATTTTTTTTCCTGCTTCATGAAAATTGCAGAGCATAATAATATTGCTTACTTTTTCTTGCATTATCATAATTCAGAAATCGTTTACTGTTATTTTCATTGGTCCCTGTATTAATTAATTAATTATTCGTCAATTACAAATGATGCTTATTTATTCTTCAACAATAAACTTACTTTGTAATTGCACTCTGAATAAATCAGCATATATTTTGATTGAAAAAATTTATTAATTAAAGAAATTCACTTTGCGAAAGTTAGGAGTAAAAATTTTCAAACATTTATCTTTTCTTTTTAATGCAAAAATATGTGTGTTATTAATCCAAGAAAATATTTAAAATCGATTATTAAAGAAAATTATTAATGATAAATATAAAAAAGAAAATGTTCTTTTAAATTTCGGGAAATCAATTGAAATAGCTATTGCTTCACCTGAGTACAAATGAATGAGTTCAGGAATGGATCACCTTTAACGTGGTTTACGTGAATATAGTCAGATTCTCCCTCCTGCAATACAACACGTGTCTTATCAATGCATATCACATCTGCAAATATATTTCGTTTTGTCAATATTTTATGGTCATTTTTTCTACTACCATAATCATCAGATTATATGATAACAGTACTTCGTTTACGGCTATCATATCAATATATATTAAATTGAACTGCTCAAGGAAATTTAGAAGTACACCTATTTTATTATCACTCTAATTACAATATAAGGAAACACAATCGAATCAAATCACTTCATCTCAAACATTTAAATCAATTACCTGCATCATTTATTAATAATTATTACAACAGCTAACAATTAACAAATACATTAAGCAAAAGTGCTACTTTCAAGTGTAAATGTATGCGTGAATTAATAACTGAATGCGAATTAGCATTACAGTCAGTAGTTTTTAATAATTATTATGGTGTAGCATTCTTTAATTTTTATTAATGACATTCAGCTAATATTTTTTTCACATACAGTTTTCTTGAAATAATTTTTAAATTTAAAAAATCAAAAAAAAATGCAATAAACCTTTATAACGATTTTTTTTTCATATTTTTATGGAATGCTATATATGGCATATCTGGTGGAGTGTACGTTTTTAGATCAGCTTGATATTGCTTCACAATTCCATCCACACCAAGCTCAAACATTTCCTGATAAAATTAGTATAATCATAGTTTTAAAAATTTATGTAAGATTTTTGTTAAAGAATATTTACTTATCAGCATTTAGTTATGTGTAATTAACAATCATCATTAGCACATATTATATTATTCGTATTACTCTAACTATTACAAATTATCATTCGCTATTTTTCATTGGTAGTATAAATTAGGCAATTTGAATATCCTCTTTAAAATTAGAACACTGATTACAGCAATTTTCTTTAAATCATTTTAATGATTTAGGAAGTGAAAAGTTTAAAGCTGTCTCATTTCATTTTAACTTCTGTAATTATCACTTGCTATAAAATTCATTAAAAGTTTGCTTATTAACAAAAATTAATTGTTGATATTGATTATCAATAAAAAATTTGAATAATTCTCTCTTTATTCATCAGTAACCGGAAATTCCCTTTTTTTTTCCTAGCTCTCATCGATTTTTCTTCCTGCAAAAAAAATCTCAAAATAGATTCACAAAAAAGAAAAGGATAACAACTCAGATCATAGTTATTTACAATGCTACCCGAAAGTTATTCATATATAGAAATTACTTGATAAATTTAAATAATTAGATATATATCATACATTAAAAATAATAAGTTAAAGAAAATAATAAAGAAAATATATAGAAAAAAAAAAAAATAATAAAAAATTCAATAATATGTTAAAGAAAATTCTGAGACACTGAACTCATCTATTTAATATAAAAGCAATTATAATAAACAAAATAAACTTGAAATGGGAAAAGAGTGAAATGATTCGATACAATAAATCATTTTTTGCTATAAGTCTTAGTGATTATTTTTTTTTTTTGAAAGCATATGCTAATGTTAATAATAAGTTATTTAACATATAAAAAAAAACGATGAATTAACGAAAAAAAGGTAATATTTTAAAACAAATCGTATTTTTCTTTTTTTCTCGTTTACTTTTACCTTCGTTTAATTTTTCTTTTTTCTTCCTCTTTCGTTTTCGTCTACTTCTCAATAAAAATGTGTTAAAAAAATCATTTTTCTCAGCTCTACTTAACAATAACTGAAAAAATTAAATAAATAAAAAGTTATGAAATTGCGAGGTTTTTTTTTTTTTTTTTTTAATAATTAAATTGACGAACTATCTGGTGCAGGTTCCTTCTTATTCAATGCTGTACTGCGTATCTCTTTTTGACGTAATCTCTGAAATTTCGTAGTAAAATTCTAGAAATCTCTTTTGATACACCATTTATATATATTCTCCTTGTCATTTAAAACACAAATTCCCTCGGGAAAAAAAAAAAAAAAACTTACTCGAAAACTTTAATTATATTCCTTACTTTTTATATCAAATTAGCCCAACACCAATACACATATTATTATAATCAAATTTGAGATTCAAATTAACTGATTATATGTAATTTTAAGGAACATATTCCTACTTAGCATCAATAATCCAATTGGACTGTGTTAATTGAACCATTTTTCGAAATTTTTCCATCATCATTTTTCGGTAATCCATTTTTGATTAATTGATGCTGATTAACAAATATGAAATCACCGAATAAGCCTCTTTGATACTGTAAAAATGAACAAATTACATGTACTGAAATATTTTTATAGCTTTCCGCAAAAATTTGAATAATGCATAAGAAAATTTAGTGCACAACGTACAGAAATTTTACTAGGAAAGTGTATTTTTTTTTTTGGAAATGATATAAAAATAAATAAATTTTTACCGCCAAATTCTTCCAGTTTTTTTAGTATGTGAGTATACGATAAATTACTTGTTGTCATAGGTCGATTGTCCGATAACTCTTAAATTTACTAAAAAATTGAAACGTCAAAATTTTGATTGTATTTATAAAATGGCTGTATACTTTTGTTCAGTGGTGATTGTTCATTTTTGTTCAACAGCATATATATGCCAATGTAAGGTTGTGTTTCAATCATTACGAGTATGACAATAATTGCAATGAAATTAATGGTGAATCAAATTGTCTATTAGCAATTGCTAGCAGATTAGCATTCATAATGATATCACTCACCTTCAAGTCAACTATTTTAAATCAATTTTTAACGTAGTGAAAAGTATTGTTACAAATGTTTTCAAAACAAGCGGATAAATTGAATCGAATGATGAAATTATCAGTGAGAATATATGTTTGAAATGAAAAAGTGAAACAAAATCTTTCAGGTCGAAAAACGTTTTAAAAATTTGTGGAATTATTTTAATTATAATGGCCTCTATATTTTTTGCCATAAGTATTATTGTTATTATAATATGTTATCATATATATTATCATATACGAAAGTATTCTTTTATTTCAATTTTGCTTGTAAAATATCTAATATTTTAACAGAAACAAATTTAAACAATTTCTGATTAAAAATTTAATTACAGCGAAACAAATTTCAATTGCTTTGTGTCTATGTTAATATTTTGGTAAATCAATTAATCCCGATTTTTTTTTTTTTTTTAGTGAAATGATGCAAGCACAAAAGCAAGTTCAACAGTTCGATGAATTAATGAGAAGAACGAAAGAAAAACATAAAATGATTCATCAATTACGTAAACAACAAATAAATATGTTAGAATCTTGTCATTTCTATTAGTTTCAAACCAAATATAGTGTGTTATATTTATTTTAGTGCCAGATTTTTTATTATTTTCATATATTTCATATTACTTTGCTTTTCATATTATATGTTATATATATATTATTTGATAACAATATTTTTGGATAAAAATGGTCTCAGTATCATACATCCATGAATTGTGAATAACGGTCTGAGTAGTGAATCATAATTATTTACATTTGAGTATCGTACATCCATGAATTTGGATGACGATTGTGTACCATATATGCTGTCTGAGTACCATATATGCATGAATTATGAATCACGATTGTATATGTCTGAAGTCAGTGACAGTATAATTGAATAGTGTTAAAAGAGTGGGAATATAAATGAGCGATGATTATGGTTCTGAAGAATTAAATTTGTTGAATTCATTTCCTTTCAAATTATGGCTTTTTGTACATCATGTGCTACATGGCTGACCAAATATTTAGATATTAATTATGAAACAGAATCTTATTCGTGAGTTAACTCCCTTTATATAATCACATATTCAAAGCAATTATAGCTTTCATCTTTTGTGCTTATGAATGAAATTCTCAATCCCAACTTTATCCAGAAATTCCCCTCACGAGTCAGCTGAAGTTATTTTCGATTATAAATTTTTGTCATCCCCCACAAATGCAATCGATTTTAATTCTTTATTAGCACATATCCTTCGACACGCGATAATGTGACTTTGAGTATTAAACCAAGAAAGCAGTTACTACCAGGAAAGAAATTAACATGAAAACAGAAAGACTAAAGCATAGATGTGCATTTTGAAGTTCTATATAAGGACTGCTCAAATAATATAGCGAAAAGTAATTTACAATCATTGCAAAAAATTCTTAGTGAAGAATGCGACTGAGGTGAAAGAGATTCTCTTGATCACTTCTCACCAATGAAGTAAAAAAAAACATTAATATAGATCACTTAGCATAGAAATTTCTCTAAGTATGGTTTCGTTTGAAAAGATACATATCGAATTCACGCCAGATCGTCCCAAAAAATATTTTAAACAACTGTTTAAACAACTGTTTAAACGGAAATCAAACGGAAAAAAAATAACACTAACCATTTGATTGGTGATTTTAATCAATCATAAAAATAAAATTTGCTCCAAAAGCAACTTTGAAAAAATATGAAGTAGCCATCATAAATGGATTCCTTTATTTCAAGGTCATTGCAGAAATCTATGTAATACACTCCGCAAAAGATTCTAATAATTGCAAAGAGACATGAACGATCCAATTTTCCAAATTTCATATAAAAGTTATCATAAATATTTTTTCCAATAAATAAAATATTTGTGCCGCTGTGATGAATATATATAATGATTGCTATCAATCCTAAGCCAATTTCTGCAATTCTCAAAAGGCAAAATTTGCAAAGTAACACCGTTTATGCAATCGATCTCTTCACTAATAAATCTGACAAAATTAACCTCTCTGGTTTTAGCATAACATCCTACCTAACTAATATTGATAATACTCTCTATTGCAATTAGGATGTAACAATTTTGCCCTGATTATGTGTCGCAATAAAATATTTTTATTACTTCCAAGATTTCAGAAATAAAATAGGACTCATCCAAACGTCAAAGATAATAAAACCTTTTAACTTGCGAGTAAAACGATTCTTGATTTCTTGAAGATTGACACTATGTTGCACTAGGTGTAGCAGAAGAGCATTATCAGGAAAAGTAGTGATCACAGCAAGAACAGGAGCAAAATGTGAAGGAGAAGGCAATTCGGCGACATTCTCTTCTTTGCTTGCTGTGGCCAAGAACGAATCAGCTATAATGTTGTGCATTATTCGCAAATGTTGTTGAACGTTACACATTGCAGGTGAGAAAGCTGGTACTACTTGGTCTTCGTTTTCTTCAAGAAGCAAATGAAATCATTACCACTGTTATTAAAATCTTTTTATGCCACAATGCGAAACCAGAACTTTGCTTGACCAACTCTAAGCAATTTAAAAAATATCATACAATTCCTTGCTTCCAACAAACTTGATCGAGAAGTATATATAGATATAAATGATAATCATTTTAATTAAAATTAATTCGCAACGAAACTTTGTGATAATTTGAAGAAAAACTGGTTGAGAAATTAAAAATCACCTTCATGATTCGTCCTGCGAATTCAAAAGCTGAATTACTGATTACTCCACGGAAAGATGGTATTTCCAGCCAACCTTAAGTAAATTCAGCATCTGCATGCATATATGAATTTCAGAGTGAGAAAAAATTTTTAAGGCACACATCGCTGAAATTTCAAATCATATGCTAACAGGCTTAACAATTTAAATACCTAGTAATGTAGAACGAAATGACACAACATTAGTTTTGTTTAAACACTGTTCATCCAAAGCTATGTAGAGCAGTTGTTCAACGGTGGGATGTTCTGACGATTCTTTTCGCAACATGCCAAAAATATTCCAGAAAAAAAATTAAAATACAGAAATATTTTATTAAAAGTAATATAACTACTAGGTCCTATATGAAGGAATAATGTATACCTGCCTGTGATATCAAAATCTGTGGAGGGATGCTAAATTTTGCCTTAAGAATTCGGCAAAACAATCTTTGAGGTTGAAAAGATAACTAAAACATTTTTGATGAAAGACTGGAAATGATGTTGATGGACCATATAAAAATTCCTACTTCTTTGGTATTAGAATAGAGATCAAAGTAAGATTTTATGCTGTCTAAATTATTTCGGACAACCTTCCAAATAATAAAACACAGAATAAAACTCCTAGTGCCCAAATGTCAGCCGACCGACCAGCATATTCAGGAGAATCTTTCAATATTTCAGGAACAACATATGTAGTGGAAGCAAAAATGTTTTTGGAAACAACCTTTATGATTTGGTTAAATTGTTATTCGGGGGAGAAGTTTGATGTCAGGGAGATGTGTTGGATGCCAGCTAAATATTTGGGCAACAATTGAATAAACTGATTCGGAGGATTGGATGATTTTTAAAACTGATCTAATTGACAATAGTATGGTTATAAATCTACATTGATGTTAGACAATGATCCAAACAAAGGAGAGGAGGTGCTTGCATGGGCACCAGTTGCTAATAAAGAGCTTATTAGATAACCGCATGATTATGATAGCTAACAAAGAACAATGTAGATATCCTCATGATTGTAAGGATTGCTAACAAAGAACGATGTAAATTGTTTCAATATGTAGAAGCATAAATTTGGAAACAAAGAGTCCGAAGTATAAGCATTATTTGCGGAAATTACGTAGATATCTTTACTACAATTTGCAACTCATATTTTTAGATCGCGATATTAAAATCCGCGACACTCCCGACCGAAGGAGCTAAATGCTTTAGTTCGTTGGACAGCTTTGGTTGATTGCTTCGCCTTATAGCGCTTCTAGTTCGTAGAGCAATTGGTTCTTGTTCATTGACATTTTGCACTGATTTGTTAAACATTGTTGGTTGAGGGTCAATTTCCTCACCTTTGACTTCCAGTGGGTATAACATATTCACCGGTCTGTTGAGTATTTTTCCTTTCGGTAATTCTATCGAGACACTTCTCACTTCTCCATCCTTTCCTGTTTTGATTTCTCTTATTCTGGCTAGTTTCCACATGCCACGGGGAATTTCTGGTTCATTTAGTAACACAATCTCTCCCTCGTGGGGAGTTCTTTTTACTACATCTCTCGGAGAAGAGTGTTCCCTTTGTGCTCTTTCTTTAAGAGTATTTAAATATTCCTCTTTCCATATTTCCCAGAAGGCATCGAGGGCCTTTAGTGTATTTGACCAGTATTGAATGAGTTTTTCTCTCGAATCCAATTTATGAGGGATAAAATCATCCATTTCATTCTTGTTTTTAGCAGGCATGATTAGATGCGCATTCGGTAGTATAAAGTCAATTGGA